TGGCAAAATGGTTTTATAGGGAGCAGGAAAAGAACGGAAATCCCTTTATACAATATGATCACGTATCGGTGGGCTGGGCTGCTTGTCAATGAGAGCTATGCCCCGGTTGCTTTTCCTCTCCACACTCCCTGCATTTCATGTTCCGAGGCCCAAGACCGGTTTTGTGATATTCTGTTTTCTCATGTTCATTTTAGTTTCTTCATTTCTTGAATTAGAATGTTAATATTTACATGTAAGTTTTCAAAATCAAAAGATAAACTTTAGTTCAAAGGTTCAAGACAGTCAGTGAGAAATTCCATCTTTATGCCCCATAGTTTGATTTCTTCTCTGTGTTCTTAAATCTGTCAATCCGCTGTTTTGCCATCTGAACCTACCTTAAGTTCTTTTCATAATCCTCATCTCTAAATATGTGTAAACCTTTGATTTTAGAAGTCACTGCAAAATTTATAAGATTACATAAGAACTTACCAGCTCACTGATATTAATTAGTAGTTTCCATTTCCATCTCCATACATGAACACAATTTAAGGTAGGATCCACATTATGTAATAAAATAGTCGAAAATGGCTTGTGGCCACTAAGCATTTGATATGTCGCTGTTGAAGCTGAGGACTGTTTTTTTTTTTTTAGAAGGAGGCTTACCTTGTCACCTAGGATGGAGTGCAGTGGCAACATCTCAGCTCACTGTACGGCCACCTCTCTGGTTAAAGCGATTTTCCTGGCTCAGTCTCCACAGTAGCTGGAATTTCAGGTCCTCACCACCACACCTAGCTAAGTTTTTAAAATGTATTTTTAGTAGAGACGAGGTTTCACCATGTTGGCCTGGCTGGTATCCAACTCCTGACCTTAAGTAATCTGTCTGCCCTGACCTCCCAAAGTGTTGGGATTACAGGTGTGAGCCACCTCGCCCAACCTGAATTTTTATTTTACCTGATTTTAATTAATTTAATTTAAAAGCTGATACTCCAGTTACTGAAAAAGGTTAGATATGTTTTGAACAATCAGTTATTAGAATTTAATTTTTTAGCCCTGAAATTTATGAAATAAAAATGAAAATCCAGTTATTTCCAACAAAAATGTAATGTCAAATTGAATAGAATGTCAATCATATTTAGAAGACTTAAGCTTTTAAAAAATGTGAAATTTTGCATTAATGTTGAATTTATATTGACTATATTTTGAAATAATGATTTTATATTTTGGGCTAAACACAATACTTATTACTTTACCTGCTTCTTATTCCTGTTTCAAATGTGGTTACTCAAAAATTCAAAATTACATATGTGGCTTGCATTTTTTTTTTTTTTTTTTTTTTTTTTTTTCAGATGGAGTCTCTCTCTCTCTAGCCCAGGCTGGAGTGCGGTTTCGTGATCTACACTCACTGCAACCTCCGCCTCCTGGGTCTCAGTTCAAGCAATTCTCCTACCTCACCCTCCCAAGTAGCTGGGATTATATATAGGCAGGAGCCACCATGTCCAGCTAATTTTTGTATTTTTATTAGAGATGGGGTTTCACCATTTTGGCCAGGCTGATCTCAAACTCCTGACCTCAGGTGATCTGCCTACCTCGGCCTCCCATAGTGCTGGGATTATAAGCATGAGCCACTGAACCCGTTAGTGGCTTGCATTATTCTTTATATATAGCACTGTGCCAGGATCATCCATTTCTCTTCTATGTTTCTTGATTCTTTGCAAAATCTTGACAGCACAGGCTTTGAAATAGTGTGACCTTTCAGTATATTTCTATGAACCCAGTTATAGCTTCTGGACTCAATCTATAACAAAATAATATCTTTATTTATGTCTACATCTACATCTATGTATCTATACAATTGTGTTAGGGAACTAAGGGGGCTTGTTAAACCATTACTTATTGAAGCAAGAAGAGGTGAGCAACTAGCAAAATTACTGACATTTGAATTTTTCCATGGCAAACTATCAGTAAGTGAAGACTATCTGAAATTCTGTTAGCCAGACACAGTGGCTCAGGCCTGTAATGCCAGTGACCCAGGGGCTGAGGTAGGAGGGTTGCTCGAGGATAGATATTTGATGATGTAGTGAGCCATGTTGCAACACTGTACCCCAGTTTGGGCAACAGAGCAACACCAAAAAATGAGAGAAATTTTAAAAAAAAGGAAAGAAAGAAGTGTTATAGGAATATTTTTACTGATAGTATGTTTTTGAAAAAAAACTTGTTTTGTAGAAAAACCTGCAACTGCTACTTCTTAAAGGAATTAGTGTCCCCAAAACTTAACTTTCTATGTACATATAATAGAATGTACATTCTGGTGTGTAAAAAAAGAAGAGGAATCACTGGGAGCACAATGCCATTTCATGAAAAGAAGAAAGTTCAGAAAATAATATGCTATTCCTGGAAATTACGTAAACACCAAGAAAGACTCAGATAACATCGCGTAAATGACTTTGAAATCTAAAAATAATAAAAAAGTTAAAAGTGTTGATTATTTTATAGGAGCCAAGGGGAGCTCTGAAGGTTTGCTGAAAGATTAGCTTATGAAAGGCAGATTAATTGGAGAATAGTTAGACAAATTTATTAATGTGTTCAAGGGAGCCTTCAAAATGAAGATATAAAGGTACAGGAAAAATTGTACACATTTATGGTTAGATTCAACAAAGTATGGAACTTGTAGAAATCTGATTGGACAAAAAGGGTATGATGTAACCCAGCAAGACCTGTCTGTCTAGACTCTTCTTCACCTCTGTCAACTGAAGAATGAAAAGGTTCATACATTTGGAAAGGATAGCTTTATTTCTCATAAAGGATTGCAGCCTGCAAGGTGGCCATTCTGAAAGGCTAGGTAGGGTACCCTTGCCTGGCTGTGAGACAGGCACTTGGAGGGAAGGAGGGAGGGATAAAACAGTAAGTTTTGAGGAATGTGTTGGTCAAGTATACATATTTAACAGGTTATAGGAAGAGCTATGATTATTCATGAATAAGACCCAAGCACATGGGTATTAGGTGTTTCTGTATGTAACGTATGTCCATGATCACTTTCGGGTGGAGATTTAACATGTAAATGAGTCATAATTAGGTCCTATACATAAAACTGAAATGTAGGGCAGAAGTCCATGATCTGCCTTCTCAGGAGACTGGTCACAACCAGTTGGGGGCTTACAGTCATTTATCAAGAAACTCTATGGTCCTTAATACCTATTTTGTCTGGAACACATTTGAGGAGGGTGGAAGGGGTCAGACAAGTAAGTGGGGAAGGGGCTTTCTGGCGTTTTATTCCCTCAAATCAGACTTTGAGAAAATCCAGCAGCGATTAGAAAGGGAAAGAGGAGTAGAAACAGAATGTGACCAGCCTCCATCTTGTAAACTTTTGAGGTCTTTTAGCCAAAGGAGGGTACGTTATTCTGTCAAAGGGACTTTCATTCCTCACCTCTTTGAACATGCAGTCCTTCCTTCTTGGTATGCGACAGCACCCCTCTCGAATGGGGACTTATGAACTGCAATTAATCTAGTTAGGTCAGATAGTTTCTCTGTGGCCAGTTTTTACACAAAAAGGTGGAGTAGAAATTAGAGTAACATTTTTAGTTTTTATGGATGGCTTTGAGGAAAAAGGATTCTGGTTGTGATGAACCACACTGGGAAAGAGGAATTCTAATTTTTATGTCTAGCTGCACAGGAGAATGGTACTCAGACACAGGAGGGCAGGAGACACAGAAAAATTTTGCTTCTGAGGTAGACTCTTTGGCCTTCATTTTGGGGTATTGTTTCCAAGCCCCAATTTGATTAATCAGTCAAGGATGTCAAGGTTTTATAGTATGAGGCTTCATAGACATTAATCTTGCAATTGCTATATTTTTATCTTTCTTTAAGTGGAAATTTAAGAAAAATTGCAAGACTTGTCAGTAAAAGAGGGGCCCTATGTGTCCTACTATAAAAAATTTACAGTTTACACAAAGTTTGCAGGGAAATGTGCTTTCACCATCTCAAAATTTACTATTGATTAAAGGTATCAAACTTATTGAAGTTACTTCTTACATCTTTTTGTCTGCTGATGCAAATAATTTCAGATTCAAGCGATTCTCCTGCCTTTGCCTCCCAAGTAGCTGGGACCACAGGCACCTGCCATCACACCTGGCTAATTTTTGTATTTTTAGTAGAGATGGGGTTTTATTATGTTGGCCATGCTGGTCTCGAACTCCAGACCATGTGGTCTGCCCATGTTTTTAGTAGAGACATAGTTCCATCATGTTGGCCAGGCTAGTCTCTAACTCCAGACCTTGTGATCCGCCCGCCTTGGCCTACCAAAGTGCTGGGATCACAGCTAAGAGTTGCCGCTCCCAGTGGGAAGTAGTCATCTTTATAAAAACTTAAAAAATCTGCCCTGAAATGCTAGTGGGCAGATATCCTTTGTTCTCTCATTTCTGTGTTAACATTGTAGCCGTTTCTGACAAGTGGATATTAAGAAACAGCCTGTGTATAATAAATTTGGATATGTGCCCAAATATAATGGAGTTTTTGATGCAAATAATTTCCGTTTAGTGGAAGAGATACAATTTTAATTGTATTGTGTACCTTTATAAAATGCACTTTTGCTTCGAAGGAACATCACTAAGATAATTTTGTGCATAAAATGTGAGCAAAGATTAGAATTATGAACTGACAAAACACTAAATAATTCATTTTAAAGCCGGGCCCGGTGGCTCAAGCCTGTAATCCCAGCACTTTGGGAGGCCGAGGCGGGTGGATCACGAGGTCAAGATATCGAGACCATCCTGGTCAACGTGGTGAAACCGCGTCTCTACTAAAAATTAGCTGGGCACATGCCTGTAATCCCAGCTACTCAGGAGGCTGAGGCAGAATTGCTTGAATCCAGGAGGCGGAGGCTGCGGTGAGCCGAAGTCGCGCCATTGCACTCCAGCCTGGGTAACAAGAGCGAAACTCCGTCTCAAAAAAAAAAAGAATTCATTTTTAAATGTATTTGAAGGTGTCAGTGACGTTAGAAACGTTTGTAGAATTAGTACATGTGTACTCCAGCGCTTTACGGAAAACGTGGGTGGCTCTGAAAAGAGCCTTTGGTTTCAGGGACTCGGAATCACCGACGGATTTGACTAGTAGTCATTTTACTTGCCTTTGGCCTTATGATGACTCTCCGTTTTCTTAGGCAGCAGTACGGCTTGGATGTTGGGCAGGACACCGCCCTGTGCGATAGTCACGCGACCTAAAAGCTTGTTAAGCTCTTCGTCGTTGCGGATAGCCAGCTGCAGGTGGCGCGGGATGATGCGGGTTTTCTTGTTGTCGCGAGCCGCGTTGCCAGCGAGTTCCAAGATCTCTGCAGTCAGGTACTCCAACACCGCCGCCAGGTACACTGGCGCGCCAGCCCCGACTCGTTCCGAGTAGTTGCCCTTGCGGAGCAGACGGTGCACACGGCCGACGGGAAACTGCAGCCCAGCCCTGGAAGAACGCGTTTTAGCTTTCGCTCGGGCTTTGCCTCCCTGTTTTCCACGTCCAGACATTGTGGCTTCCTAACAGAAGAGAAAACAGCCTACAGAATAAAGAAAAAAAAGTGTGCTCGATGGAGGCAGAAGAAGCTAATTATAGTCATAGGTAGAATTGTAAATGGCGCAGTTTGATTGGTTCAAATTATTATTAGACAAGCTAACCAATTGGGAAGGAAATAAGGTTAAAGCTGCTTTAAATATTTGCGTCATTAATACATTGACCAATCAGAGCGGGATATTTTCAATTCTCTATTTGCATAAAAGGCCTATAAAAGGAGAGCCTCTAGACACGAGCCATTACTTACATATTTCCTTTCTAATTGTTCATTTTATCTGACGACATGCCTGAGCCAGCTAAGTCAGCTCCTGCTCCAAAAAAGGGCTCCAAGAAGGCGGTGACCAAGGCGCAGAAGAAGGACGGCAAGAAGCGCAAGCGCAGCCGCAAGGAGAGCTACTCCGTGTACGTGTACAAGGTGCTGAAGCAGGTCCACCCCGACACCGGCATCTCCTCCAAGGCCATGGGCATCATGAACTCCTTCGTCAACGACATCTTCGAGCGCATCGCGGGCGAGGCTTCCCGCCTGGCGCATTACAACAAGCGCTCGACCATCACCTCCAGGGAGATCCAGACGGCCGTGCGCCTGCTGCTGCCCGGGGAGCTGGCCAAGCACGCGGTGTCCGAGGGCACCAAGGCCGTCACCAAGTACACCAGCTCCAAGTAAATGCCTGCGCAGGCACCCTCAATCCCAAAGGCTCTTTTAAGAGCCACTCAAGTGTCAAATAACGGAGCTTTAATACGAAATTCCACCATTTTCTAATTTGTAATCCAAGATATTTTTGCAGCCGAGGCGGGCGGATCGCCTAAATTTAGGCGTTCGAGGGCATTTTGTCCAACAGGGTAAAATCCCGTCTCTACTACAATTATAAAAATGAGACGGGTCTGTTGACTGACCCCTGTATTCAGAGTTGGTTTTGGAGGGGCTGAGGGAGGAAGAACTGATTTAATGCGGGAGGCAGAGTTTGCAGTGAGCGGAGATCTCACCATTGCATTCCATCTTGGGCGACAAGAGTGAGATTTCGGCTAAAAAAAAAAAAAATAAAACAAAACATATCAGGAGATTGTGTTTGCTGGCGCAAGGTCATGTAATCCTAGCACTTTGGGAGGCCGATGCTTGAGCTTCGCTTTAGCCCAGGAGTTTCGGATTAGCCTTGGCAACACAGAACTCATCTCTGCAAAAAGTTTAACCGGGGGTGACGGCTTGCTTCTGTACTATCAATTACTCGATAGGAGGCTGCAGGAAGAAGTGAACGCGCCACTGCATTCCAGTCTGCGCGACATTGGAAGGGGTAGGAAATGTGTAGTCTTTGGCTCCCTGAAGATCACCCGACAAGTTTGACTTTTCTGAGCACTGTTGGGGACTCTATTGTGGAGGGAATACCATGAGTATTGAGCTAAAAATCCTCGTTTTGGAACGGGCACGGTGGATCACGCCTGTAATCCCAGTACTTCGGGAGGCCAAGGCCAGCGGATCACGCGGTCAGGAAATTGAGATCATCCTGGCTAACAGTGAAACTCAGTCTCTACTAAAATAAATAAATAAAAATTAGCCGGGCGTGGTGGTAGGCGCCTGTTAGTTGGGAAGCTGAGACTACTAACTGTTAGCAGTAACAACTAAGCTGAGACACGAGAATTCCTTGAGCCCGGGAGGCAGTGGTTGCAATGAGACGAAACCGCGCCACTGCACTCTAGCCTGGGCGACAGAGCAAGACACCTGCTCAAAGACTTATCGTTCTGGCTGGGCGTAGTGGTCTACGCCTGTAATTCCAGCACTTTGGGAGACAGAGGCGGGTGGATCACTTGAAGTCATGAGTTCGAAAACAGCCTGACTAACTTAGTCAGATGTGGTGGCGCAAGCCTGTATTTCCAGCTACTGGGGAGGCTGAGGCAGTAGAATCGCTTGCACTGGGGAGGCGGAGGTTGTAATGAGCCGAGATCACGCTGTTTCACTCCGGCCTGGGCAATTAGAGTGAAATCCGTCTCAAAACCAAAGAAACAAAAAGTAATAAAAGTAAATAAAAATCCTGGGTTTATACTCATTAGCCAATTTTCTTAACTAGGACCCCCCCTCCAAAAAAAAAGTCACTACTCCATAAGCAATCTCAGATTTCTGAAAACAACATAGTACTCCCAAACATGGCACCTTGACATACTGAGTATTCTAAGGAATTAGAACAACATAGACAGGAATGTCCTTATGACCTTCCTCTGAAACAGGTCGTAAGACCCTCATGTGAGTCTTGCAGAGTGTGAGATGAATCTGAACAAACAGACCTTGCTAGAGTTCTCCTTGTTTATTATTCATATTATTTTTGTCTTATATTTCTACATGACTACTCTTCGTCAAACCTAGTGTAAAAACATCAGGTTTGACCCATTCTTGAGGTCTTTATTTCCTCATGTATTGTAAAGCTTTATATTAAATGTGTATGCTTTTTTCTTGTTAATCTGTATTTTGTTTCAGGGCCCCAGCCAATGAACAAAAGATTGGTAAAAGGAAAAGCTCTTTCCTCCCCTACAACATACACTAGTGGTGGGTCTGCATCTGTGTTGTGTTTGTCTTTGTGGAGTACAGAAGCCATTATAACATGGAAAAGAGGTGGAGAAAAATAATCCCAGAATGAAAATGTTTGAGAAGTGTGTTTGCTAGGGCTGCCAAAAAAAAAAAAAAAAAAAAAAAAAAAAAAAATCGACTAAAGACTGTGTGGCTTAAAGAAATAAATTCTGTCACATTTCTGAAGACTATAAGTTCAAGATGAACCTAGTGAGCAGGATTGATTTTTTCTGAGGCCATGCTCCTTGAGTTTTCCCTTCCCTTCTCTTTCCTCTGTGTGTTATCTGTGTTTTAATATCCTCTCATAAGGACACCAGTCAGATTAGATTAGGACCCACCCCTAAAACCTCATTTTATACCTTTAAAGACCTTATCTCCAAATAAAGTCGCATGTTCAGGCAGTTGATATTGGACTTCAACATTCAAATTGTGGTCTGGGACAGGTAATTCGGACTATATCAAAAATTATGGTTATTAGGCTTCTAAATAGTACATAAAGTAAGTATTTCAAAGGCACCTCAAAGTCAGCACAACCAAGACAGACCTTATTATACTCTACTAAGCTTCACTTATTCATCCAAGTTTGAGATCTAGTCTTCATTCCAGAGTACTCCCTTTTCTTTTCTGCACATATTTAAAAATATACAAAGTCTTATTGATTCTATCTTCTAATTTTATGTTAATATTGTCCATATTTTTGTTTAGCTAAAAACTGGAAAATTCATGTTGACGAGTAGGACTTTGCCTAACACTAGGTTTTATCCCTAATGAAATATTATGCAGCTGTTAAAAATAATTTAAAAAATAAACAATGTAAAATATGCTCATGGCATTATATGGGGTAAATCCAAGTTGCCAAATAGTGTATTCTTATTTATATTACGTCACACACACACACACGCACACAATACAGTTGTAAGTAAAAAGGGTGACTAGAAGGGTCAATGCCAAAACATTAATAGTGCTGTTATGTTATTTTTGGTGCAAGAGACAACTCTTCTGAAGAGAACTTTGTCTCCAGAACTCTCAGTGGTGTGATTCAGAAACAGGAAACTCCCCTTAGGCCCTTTCCTCTCCAAGTCTCCTTGCCCTATGTTAAGAAAATGTAATTCATTACACAAGTAATTATTGAGAACCAACTATGTACCAGCTATCATGCTATGCAATACAAATAAATGAATCTAATAAATTTTAAAATGCACTAAGAAAATTGAAAAACAGGAGAATATTCTATCATAAAAGGAAAAAAACAGAAAAAAGTAGACTAAGAATTATTTGTGAACCACCTAATAATCTGCGTGACTCTGAGCATATGTTCCTGTTTGTGAAATAATGTCCTAATGACTTCAAAGAGGATCAAATGGGAAAATTAACTTAAAAACTGCAAAATGACTAAGGACCAGAGGAGCAAGGGGGATTAAGGCAAGAAAGTGACATAATTTAGGGTCATGGTTACCTCTGGAGGCAGTAGCAGGAAGATGAGAGATGAGGTCAAAGCAGTTCTTGGTAATGTAACAAATGTAACAGATATAACAAATATATCTGATTGACAATTGTGTTCAAGCGTGGCCATCATATTATTCTTTATACCTTGTATATTGATTTGATACATTTTTAAATGTATCTAGAAGTACAAACTTCAAGGCAAATTAAGAAAAAATAATGTACAAATATGTTTGTGGAACAGTCACTTCAACTTCTATAAAAAGAACTTATATAAATTGTGAAATATTGCTTATATAAATTTGATTATGAAAAACAAAATCTCCCCTTATACTCCAAACGTTTGTAGATGCTCAAAAAAGAGTTAACAAAAATCTCTGCTACTATGTAAGACTGTTTTTCCCATTTTTTCCTTTTTTTTTTTTAAAAGACAGAATCATCCAAGCTGGAGTGCAGTGGCACAATCTTGGCTCACTGCAACCTGCACCTCCTGGGTTCAAGTAATTTTCCTGCCTCAGCCTCCTAAGTAGCTAGGAAAGGACTATAGGTGTATGCCACCATGCCTGGCTAATGTTTGTATTTTTAGTAGAAATGGGGTTTCACCATGCTGGCCACGCTGGCCTCAAACTACTTACCTGACGTGATCCACCCGCCTTCGCCTCCCAAAGTACTGGGATTACAGGCATGAGCCACTGTACGCCCAGCCTGAGAGACTTGTTTTGTAAGGGATTCTTCACATGTACACTGAAGTATTTCATTTTATCACTTGTAAATTCATTTAGATTTTTGTTTATTTTATTCATATCCATTCATCCAGGTACTCATTCAGATAAACACATAATTTGAGTTCAATATGCTCAGTGCAAGAACTAGTTTTGTAAAAGATATGAGAATTGTTTCACATAATAGAAACAGTTGGGGGGTGAGGAAAGGGATTTTGTGTGGTTCCCTGTTGTTTAGAATAAAGTCCACGTTCCTCTCATTGGCCTAACAGGCTTCCAAAT